ATGTGTGTGTTATACACATAAAAAACAACTTTTGTTTAGTTTGAATCCATAAAAGATACCTTAAATTTTCTGTAATATCTGATCTACTACAAGTATTACCCAGCCAGCCTATGTGGTTTATCTCACCTAGAGGCCTAGCCTAGCATGGAAATTAGTAAACTAATTCCTCCATGGGCCTAGTTGAGAGCTGTGAGTAGGTAAGGCTAGCGTCAGGAAAGAAAGAACTGCATATGGAACTCGCTATCATCGATTCTAGCCTTGACGATATCATTGTCAATAAGGTTTTGATTTGACCTCAACTTATTTAATTCTTTAAAAAATGTTTTCATGGCTAAGCCAAAAACCATTCATTCATTCGCACCGACAGTATGTTTCAGGTACCACAAAAAAACGGCTGTACATCATCGCTACCAACCAGACTCATCATGGACGTAAGGTTAGCCGTAAAGCTTACCATCCCAGGCTGTGATTGTTGATGTACACAAGATGGAATATAGAGGCAATTTGCAATCTGACCAATGACGAACACGCTTTCATATTAAAAGAAACCCATTCCAATGGTAAAAATATATGATATAAAAACATACAATTTCACGGATTTCCCAAAAATATTTTCGCAGAAACTCTTTAAATTTCCTAATTTCACATCTATTTGTATATTATTGCAAGATTAGCCTAATCGCATCACAAACGAAGGCCCTGATAGAAAAAGAAAGGATTTCAACAGGCCCGTATCCAGCTTTTTCAATGGGGGGGTGCGTTTCGCGAGCGCAGCGAGCAACCAGGCTGGGGCCAGGGAGCCGCCCAGGGCCCCCGGCCCCCGGTTGTGGTCTAGGGGCCGAAGGTCCCGGAAAAATTTGCTTTCTTACGTCCTAGTAGACTAATTTGAAGGCATTTTATCATGTTAATCTCTATATGTCCGTAAACACAGCGATAGGGCCTATCAAAAAATTACCAGTGGAGGACATGGAGAAACAAGTAAATTGTTTCCCAAATGAAAAATACTATTGTATAAATTCGTAACCATTACGAATAAAAATTCAAAATCAATCCCCATTTTTTAAAACGTGCGTGTTCCAGCGTCGAGCATACTCGTCTCAGGGTATTTCTGAGAGCGCAAGGAACGATTATACTTGTCTAAACCGGGGTGTCATTCTAGCATTTTGACTTCATTGCTATACACTGACATACCGGCTGGTAGTTAGGGGAAGATACACCTAGACGATAACGTGCATATAACGTGTGTATGTTTGCTGTGTTATGTTGCTGGCAGTACAAAACATTGCGGGTGTGGAGTCAGCGCTCTAGTATTCTTATTGTAACTCATTTGTACATTCATACAATCTTAATACTGTACTGTTATGTGATTCATTTTATAATGATTCTGGGAACAAGGTCACAGTTTTTTTTGGTTATAATTAGTGGACGTTTTTCGATTTGGGGGGTGCGTACGCACCCGACGCACCCCCTACCCCCCCTGGATACGGGCCTGTTCAAATTTGCCCAAAATCATAGTACTGTATAGTACTCTCCCTCAGAGAGTGGGCTAAAAAATATTGGTTAACGTCTCTGATGTTTGGCACTGTGTAATACTGTATATTCTCTGCTATTTGGTCATTCCATAAAACCAAAAGGGGATTCTCCATGACCAAATTAAACTAGATAGTATAATACATACTCCAAGTATCGAAATGCATGCCATTGTGTCGGGATTCAATATTTCGACATTAATTATTCCCTGATGATGACATAATTAATGTTGAAGTATTGAAATCCGACACGATGGCATGCATTTCAATAATTAGAGTATGTATTATACTATCTTATCTGAGATTAATCAGTGGACCTTTCGGTTTCCAAATTAAACTAGGAACCTAAAGATCTTCTATTCTCTTCATTACAAACATCACACAAAAAAGAAATATATATTTTTATGATCAAGCTTGCCTCCTTTCACATGGTAAATTATAGACACATTGGTTTGATATTTTTTCTGTGAACACTTAGCCTGGGCCGGGCAAATCTCATACCTTATGGATCCTATGACATATGGCTGGGCTAACTGAACAACAATTGACCCACTTCCCAGCTGATGACAAGTGTAGCCCGAGTCCCAATCGTAGTGTTTGGTGTCGCCGTTCAACAGTGCATTCCTGCTGCGACTCACGCCCTCTATAACACATGCACTCTTCGGAATTGTTGCAACATTCTCAGTTGGCACTAAACATAAGACAAATATTTTTTATTTAAAAAGAAATAATCATACAATTCTTTAAGTGATAAATCAACATGGTGATAATAGTAATTAATACGTTTGTAAAAATAATAAGCATGTTTAGTTTGTATAGCGCAAAGAAATTTACAGAGCATTTGCCTCCATCTAAAAATAACTCATTACAGCTTACCGATTAGTCCGTCGTCCAGCTGGAATGGCTTGGCAGTGTGCCAACATTCGAAGGATACGAGATGAAACACCTTGTTTACCGTGTTCTTCACACCTGTCACCCGGATGTACCTGTAAACAAACACAAATGATAAGTATAACTTATAAAAGGTAATAATATAAATTAACATCATATCAAAAGGAGTGATGAAACATTTTAAGACAAGTCAAAAATGTATAGAATATAAAATTTGTTATTTTCTGTAACAAAACTCCATAAGAAATCTTAAAACATTTTAACCAGCAATCCATCGTTAGGCCAGTATTTGGGCGTTGAAGTTGTGATGGTGATGAAAAATTGAAGCTTTGATTCGGCCGGCTCTGTCCCCTGATTAGTTGGTCCATATTTGCACACCAACGCAACCCCCCTAACTTCCACACACAAATGACAAACCTGCATACAGCCATTCTACACACCATCAAATTAGACTGAATAGGAGAAAAAAATATGGTAGAAGTAGCAATCGGTTGTTTATACCATATAGCAAAGGTTTTATGGGTGGTGGGGGAGCATTAGGAGCGGGGGAAAAGGAGGGAATGACCTGGTCTTCTGCCTCTGACTTCCACTACCTGTATATATTTGATGTGCAAAACATGCCCACAATATTTTTTTTCTTTAGAATTCATATTTTTACTTACTTGCAGACACGAGATTTGAAGTGTAATGTTTGCCAAGAGCGACACAGATGCTGTGAAT